TTAGGGCTTCATGGTTGTTTAATAAAATGGTACACAGTGCTCCTAAAAACAATGCTTACAAGTTCTCTTTGCCTATAGAGGCCAGTCCAGATTCACAGTCCTGCACACAAGGACTTCTCTGCTCGGCTTCCAGATCTTTCCACACTCTGTAATTCAGATAAATAGAACTTTCTTCACACTGTCCTCCGGTTCTTGCTGGGAACTCATTGTCAATGACCAGTGCTTAAACTGTGGCTGCTGAATAAGTATTGAACAAGCTCATCAAACATGAAATACCAACGTATTGGAAATATCTATCTGTGGGCCAAAAAAGATAACATTATTAGGAGTTAGACATAAGTTGGCTATAGAGGTACCACTATTTATTCTAAAACCAACATGTTTTAAATGTCTTCAACTTCCATTAGGTATGTCTTCTTGGTTGTTGATGAAACCATAAATCCTTGAAATCGATTCCTTCCTAATCAAAGTGCATTCTGATAACCAGGAAACTGTGTGTTAGATTATATTCAATGGAAGACTAGCAGGAAGGAAAGATGTGCCTTGCAGTAATGTTAACTGTGTTAATGTAATGAAGCCATGTTATGCTGTGTTGATAAGGCAAATGCCTGTGCACTGTGCTCAAGTACAGTCACGTCCAGGCCAGGTCAGACAACTGTCTACAGCAATTCTCCTCCAGACAGATGCTTCTGTAAAAGTTATCACCATCCTAACAAGTAGATTCTTGAGCACAACGGCACTTATTTTCATATATCACTTCAATTTAATATGTCAATTCAATATTATGTTGGTGAAAACTAGTCACATGGCCCTGTCTTCCTGCAGGGCACAGAGAAGGTACAATGATTCTTAGTGGTTTTGGAGAAAGTCATATAGTCCATATATGCATAGATACTAACTTATATTTTAATATTTGTATTATTTATTGATTTGGGTGTGTATGTGGTCACTTGTGTGTATGCTATGGTGCATGTTTAGAGGTAAGAGAACAGCTGTGGGAGTTGGTTCTATCCTTCTACTAAGTGGGTACCAGGGATTGAACACTATTACCCACTAAAATTAATTGCCGGCTCTCACTCATATTTTAACAAACTGTGTTCAGGACCTCAATGGTAGAGAGACCATATTTTTTTTTCTGGAATAAACTCATTTTACATCCAAATAAAGAAGAGAAAGACATTGCAGTAAAAGTATTCCAGGGAAGAAAATTCAAAGGCCTGAGTTACTGTGTGACTCACCTCCAAAACCTTGAGAAGACTTCTCAGCTGTCAAGTAGGAATAGGCCCATCTTTTTGTTTGTTTGTTTCTTGAGAAAGGGTTTCTCTGTATATCTTTGGCTTTCCTAGAACTCACTCTATAGACCAGGCTAGCCTCAGACTCACAGATCCACCTACCTCTGCCTCCCGAGTGCTGGGATTACAGGCATGTGCCACCACTGCTGGGCGTTGGTCCCATCTTTTAACTGGTTCTTTTTTTGAATATTTAATACTCAGGTCTGAAGTAATCATTTCTTTTACAATAATGTTCTTCTTAGCCAGATTTCCTCTTGTTACTTCTGCTCTTTGGGTAACATGAAGTGACCATCTGGAAGCTCCAACCTCCTCTGGCCCTGTATCTCCCTTGGGAATTCTAACTGGACTCCTGGTACTTGGTGTTTCTCTTTCAGGGAGGGGCCTCATCCCAAAGTCTTGGTACAAAAAGGAAGATATATTTCTGGCCTATTTGTGTATCACACAGCCTGTGTTACTTAAATACTAGGTTTATGCCTCCAAATTAGCAGTTTTCTTGCTCTTGAAATGTCTGAAAATCAGAGTTAAATTCATGTTCCCCAAATGAAAACAAAAGAAAACCCGCTGCCGCTCTCATCTTGTTCTGCTTTTTCTTGCACAGCTTAAATCACTGGCAGTAGCGAGTTAAGAGTTTTGCAGAATTGGTTCCACCAAGATGTGATTGTTTGGGTCAGGTTCTCCATGTTTGTTTTTTAGTAACAGGGAATCCAAACTCAGGAATGACCAATAAAGAGAAAAGTAATTGTTTTTACATCTTGTTCAAATAATAAACATCCTTGTAGTCTTGGAATATGTTTCCTGAAAATCATCATCAATGGCAAACACAACATGATTTAGGAAAGATTGAAAATATTTAAAGTCCTTTCAAAGCAAGAGGTGACAGAATTCATAAGGCTCATACATAGGGCTATGAAAGTTTGAGTTGAAAAGGCACTTTGGCCCCACAGAGAATGCTTTTTTCCCTTGATTTGTTCCTTGAAAATTACTCACATCTATGCAGTGCACCCTGATCATGTCTACCCTCACTACTCCCCTCGAGTGCTCCCTGGAAACCTCCCCCACTGAGTCTCAATCCCAACTTCCTGTCTTTGTTTTATAATTGTTTATCTTTAGCCCATGAGTCCAGTTAATGCTGTCCATGTGTGCATAGGTGTGAGGTCATCAACTGGGGACCAGCTTTCCAGTGACCACACTCCTAAAGAAAAATGACTTTTCCTCCTCTAGTAGCCATCCGTTGCCAATAGCTAGGCGTGGGGCTTAGGAGCCCCTTCTCCAAATCCATGCTGGATCCGTGTGCAGGCTTGGTTTAGGTAGACAACTGCTATGGTTGTCAGCGGCAGCAGCCACTTCATGGCATTCTTACCCATCTTCTGCTCTTTCTATTTTTCTGCCAGCCTGTTTGGTAGGTTCACTCACAGCCACATGTCATCAATATTTTGAACAGGCATGTGTAGATGTAACCAATCGTCTTATTAAAATAAGAAACACAGAGCCAATGTAAAAGAGAAAGCCGAGAGGTCAGAGCTCAGAGATAAAATCTTACCTCCTGCAGTGCTCCTAGCTTCCCCGAGAGAGTGCTACTTCCTGTTTGTCTATGTTTAGTCTTTCTATTCTGCCTTCTCAGGTACTTGTAGCGTTTTGCTCCAGCTGTGTGTCTCGCTGCACCCCTGGAATTCAAGACTCAATTCCCTTGCATTGAAGAACCCACTGAAGTACTTGGTAGCATCTTCCTGGAGGCCCGTGCTGCCTCGCCCTGGGCCCAGGACTTCTGCCACCTTCGCCCGGCAGCCGAGCCCAGGCGCCGCTGGGGCTACTTGCATGCATCTGTGTGTTAGTCACTCCTCATTGCAATAAGAGGCTTCTCTGACCAAGGCTGGGTGGGAATAGCACCAATCTATGCATTAGAACTTACATATTTTGAAGGCAGTTTGACAACACGACTGTCTTAGGGTTTCTACTGCTGTGAAGAGACACCATGACCACAGCAACTATTACAAAGGAAAACATTTAATTGGGTGGCTTACAGTTCAGAGGTTCAGTCCATTATCTTCATGATGGGACATGGCGGTAGGCAGGTAGACATGGTACTGGAGAGGTAGCTGAGAGTTCTGCATCTTGTGCAGGCAACAGGAAGTGGTCTGTCTCACTGGATGTGGCTTGAGCATATGTGAGACCTCAAAGCCCACCTCTGCTTCCATAGTGAGACATTTCCTCCAATAAGACCACACAACAAGCCAGACCTCCTAATGGTGACACTCCTTTGGGGGGCCATTTTCTTTTAAACAACCACATTCCACTGTCTGGCCCCCAAAGGCTTGTAGCCATTTCATAATGCAAAAATGCATGCAGTCCAACTTCAAAAGTCCCCATAGTTCTATCACAGTCTTAGCAATGTTTCAATGTCCAATGTTCAAAGTATTTTCTAAGATTCATTCAATTTTTTAACTGTAATTACCTATAAAATAAAAATAAAAAAGAAGATCTCATACTTTCAATATGTAATGGCACAGTATATACATTACCATTCCAAAACATAGGGAAGGGAGCATAGTAAGGAAATACTGGACCAAAGCAAGACTGAAAACCAGCTGGCCAAACTCCAAACTCTGCATCTCCATGTCTGATGTCAAAACACTCTTCAGATCTCCAACTCCTTTTAGCTTTGTTGACTGCAACACACTTCTTTCTTTTGGGCTGGTTCCACTTCCTGTTAGCAGCTCTCCTTGGCAGGTATCATACGACTCTGGCATCTCCAACATCTTGGGGTCTCCAAGGCAAACCAGGCTTCAACTTCACAGCTTCACACCAAGGCCTCTCAAGGCCTCCATGAAGGGACACCCCTCACGCAGACCAGTCTCCCTAACAAACATAAATGAAGAAAATTCTCTATTCCAAATAATGCATGGAGATGGATTACTCTACTCTTCCACAGAAAGGAAGCATAAACCTGACATAGGCAGAGTAACTTCTCAAGTTTTGTATGGAAATTGGAGAGAGAGAGGCACAATCACTTTACAGAAGTGAAGACTGGCATCTACTGCTTAGCCAATGACCAAGGTCAAGGGTCGATGGTTATAAGTCATGTTGACAATATGATACAATGGGATAAAAATGCACATAACTTCAGGGATCTTTCATCAATCACCTACAGCACCAGTGTGAGCATTAGAAAGCCCCATAGGAATTCCAGCATTACAGTAGCCTATAAAATCCCTAACCAGGGCACCACTGAGGTCTCAAGGCCATCAAAAATGAGGATATCAGACGAACTGTCACAGTGAAGAGGAGCCTAAAAAGCAAGGCAAATTGATATTATGAAGGATTCAGTTTGGAATACTGGAACAGATGGAGGGTACCATGGAAATTAGCCAAGTGCTGTAGTTGATGCAGATGCTTCATTGACTGTAATGATTGTGTCCCATGGTAGGAAGTTAGCAATGGAAAAACAGTGGTTTTCTTTGAATGTGTCCTACAGAAGGCCTGTGTTGGAAACTTGATTCTTGATGTAACAGTGCTGGACACAGGATTTAAAGAAAAGTGATTCGGCCATAATGGCTCATGAGTGGGTTAAAGCCATTATGGAAGTAAAAGAAGCTCTCTCTCTCTCTCTCTCTCTCTCTCTCTCTCTCTCTCTCTCTCTCTCTGTGTGTGTGTGTGTGTGTGTGTGTGTATGTGTATGTGTATTTGTGTGTGTCCCTTTCCCCTCTCCCCTTTTATCTTTATTTCATTTTCTTTCCATTCAGTATGATGCTGGCTATGTTTCTCATATACAGCCTTTACTAAGTTAAGGTAGGATTCTTCTCTTCTTAGTTTCTTCAGTGGTTTTATCATTAAATAATTCTGAATATTAGTTCCCAGTTGGGGGAGGTTCAGGAAATTCTGACTTGGACCCTAGTTCAAAAATACAAATCTATATGGTGGGATACAAAGCCTTCACTACATGGGGCAGCAGAAGGGTCTTCTGTCCAAACACAGCTTTCTGACTTCTGAGAAGGGGGCGGGTACCAGCTCAGTGTGGGTTCACCAGGGTGATGTAGGCCAACCTTACCTGGCTGGAAGGACCCCTCAGTGACATAGCCTCCCCTCCCACCCTAGTATAAACTGCATTTAAAGGATATGCTACAGTAGCTTGGGCATTTCTCACCCTCACAGGCACATCCACAAAGTACTTTTGGTGTGAGGGGGGACTTCCCAGAGCAGCTCACGCTCCATTGATGAGAGCTTCTCACTTGACTCCTAAGGTGTCTGGCATCTTCTACTCTACACACAAAGCTCATTGTCATGAATATAGCCAGGTAGCTGTGATTGGCTTAGTTCACACCAGTGAGGAAAGGCTGGAGATCTGTCTGTAAGAAGTTCCCATTACTGGCAGACACACAATAATGGGATAAAAAAAAAATAAGACTCGAAATAAGTAAAATGTAAGCAGAAGTGCCTATCATATTCGACCAAGTAAATTTCAAACCAAAATTAGAAGATATAAAGTCACATAAAACTAGTAGAAAAACAGTCCACCCAGAAGCAATAACAATTATAAATATACATGCACCAAATGCTAATACACCCAACTTCATAAAACAAATACTACCGACATACAGGGACAGACGATTCAAGATACAGGAACAGTGACATGACCTTCAATACTCTGCTGTCATCATTAGGCAGATCATCCAGACCCCAAATAAATTTAAAATGCAAAAAAACCCTATAACTACAGCAACATAGATGAAATGGGCTTAAGAGACTGTTCTACACAACAGTCCACCCAACAGCTGAGGAATAAATATTCCTTCCGTCAGCCATGGGGCTCTCTCAAAAACAGACCACATCTTAGGCCATAGAAGAAGTCTTAGATACAGTAATAACAATTTCTTGTATCTTACCAGATCACAGTCGATTAACCCTGAACATCAGTAGCAAGAGACACTACAGAAATGATGCAGTACAGAAGATGGAATAAATGTCAGAGTGACACTGAATAAATAACAAGGGAAATTCAAATTCTAGAATCAAATTAAATGCAGATTTGGCTCACACATCCTATGTCACAGTCTGTTACTGAGGGAGTCAGGGCAAGAACTCAAGGCAGGAACCTGGAGGCAGGAAGTGAAGCAGAGGCCATGGAGGAGTGCTGCTTACTGGCTTGCTCCTCGTGGCTTGCTCAGCCTGCTTTCCTATAGCACCACCCCCAGTGAGTTTGGACCTCCACACCAATCATTAATCAAGAAAATGTCCCACAGATTTGTCTATTGGCCGATATTATGGAGGCATTTTTTGTCAGTGGAGGCTCACTTTCTGCTCAAATGATGTCAGTTTGTGTTAAGTTGACAAAAACTATCCAGCACTTATGTATATATGTATAAAATATATTTACAGACATGTATACATGTAACTTATTAAATCCACTTACATTAAAACTGTAACAGCAGATGTCTAACAGCTGAGAGGCTAGGAACCCAGTGGTCCTGGAGGCTGGGTGCCTCTAGCAGTCCCAATCTGATGCTGAAAACCAGGAGTGTTTGTAGAGAACTGCCAGTCTTGAGTCAGTGATGGAAGCCTAGAAACATGGGTTCTGAAATGATCAAAAGAATCAGCAGTAGCAGTTACAGAGTAAAGAAAAGGCTAAGCAAAGATGGATGATCTTCCTTCTGCCATGCCCTTCTGATCTGGACTGCTACCAAAGGGTGGGTCTTCCTGTATCAGTTAAGGCCACCAGGACAATCCCTTCATTATGGCTTGCCACTCAGGTGATTCTAATTTGTGAACAGGCTGGAAAGTGCAGAAGATGCCCTGCTCTGGGCCAGCTGGTTGTGCAGATGGCAGAAGTCCTGTCCTGGGCTGTATTTCTGAATGGTTCTCTATTGTGTAGCTCAACAGACTTCACTTTGCTTTTGCTTTATAGCCCCACTGAGGGGATCCCCCATCCCTATATACTTTGAAAGATCCAACTCTTACTTCATTGCCATCATTGTTTCAAGAGGACTTTTTTTTGTTCCTGGTGCCCATTGTGAAATCCTAACCTTGAAACATCATGGTTTCTTTGGTCAGCATTCCTGTTCCTGTGTGGCTCTCAGCCTCGGCACTGTTTCCATTACCCACACATATTCTAACTCTTACTCTTAGACAGATGTCAACTTTCTACTACAGGGTTTGAAAGAGGAGTGGCCTAGATGCTATACAGAATATTGCTTCTGCAAAAATTAAAAAGTATTATGATATGTGTTTTATTATAAAACTTCAAATACAGAGAAAGGGAAAATCCTAAACTGAAACTTCTCACACGTAGTAGTTTACCAACTGGGTGTCTGAAGCATGGTCCCTCTGCTCACTATACTCTCTCTTCCTCTCCTCTGTCACATCCCCTCCCAGAGTTATCGCCACTTCTGGCCAACACTCAGAGTTCTCACATCTAAGAACAGTGTCTACCTCAGATACAAGCTTCAGCAACAAAGGAAACAATGAATATAAAAAACAAAAACAAAAACACAGGAGAATTCTGGTTGCTGCTTCTGCTTAAGTTCCTGGTCTGACTTCCCTCAGTGATAGACTGTGATCAGGATGCATAAGCCAAAGAAACCCATTCTCCCCAAGCTGCTCTGGTCATGGAATTCATCACACTAACAGAAAAAAGGTAAGAGTCTGATGAAACATCAGCTAAAGCTTGCTATGTGCCACAGCCTGTGAGGCTGATGTTTAGTGTTCTATGTGTGCCTTTTAACACTCTAGGTGCTGAGACATGGCTGTGTGAAGTTCACATGTGCATCAGTCCTGTTGTGTATGGAAGACACTGTTTCCTTGGCGTCATCCATCACCTCTGGCTCTTATTTCTGCTACCTGTTTGACATCGATCTCTGAGCCTGAGGGGAGGGCTTTGATGAAGACATTCTATTAGGACTGAGTGTTCCAAAGTCTCTCACTCTGTAGACATTACCCAATTGTGGGTCTTGTACTAATTTCCTTCTACTGCAAGAATCTTCTCTGATGAGGGTTGATCAACACACTATTCTATGGGTATAGCAGTATGTAACATGAATCTTAAAAGGACTTATAATAAAAAAAAAAAAACCTCAGAGCCAGATATTGGGGTGAAAGCTGAAAGATCAGAGAAGCAACCAGCCACTAGCTTACCTCTACCAAATCCTCAGCCTCAAGATAATGAGTTCCTGTTTCCTCATGCCTTATACATCTTTATGTGTCTTGCCATATTACTTCCTGATGTAGTCCAGTGTGGCCTTGAACTCACAGAGATCCACCTGCCTCTGCCTTTCCAAGTGCTGGGATTAAAGGCTAGATTAGAGACGTGGCAGCAGTCACAAGATCTGCACTAGTTCAAACTAGACAAATGGATCAATGGATCAGAATTTTTAAAAATCCAAAAACAGGCTCTACTACACAAGCAGACTAGTAAGAGAAAATTGGGAAAACTGGATGGCCTTCTGTTAACATACAGCAGATCCTGTCTATATACTGAAAATGAATTTCAAGTACAGAGATTTAGATGTGAAAAAGATCTTTGGCTTTCAAAGTCCTGGGGTCTTTCTGAATCACCCTAGAATGGCTGTAGAGGCAGGTGTTTGAGAACACAGACACATATAGATGCTGCAGGACATGAAACATCCACCATGAAAAGAAAAGGTGCGATTATGTCACAACAGAACATTATCTCTTCTTACATACAATGAACTTCTAAGAGTAGAAATATAAAAGACCAGTAACCCTATGGAAAATTAGCTAGGGAATTCCATTGGTCAGTCTGTACGCAGAATACATTAGCTGAGGTGGAGGGGTAAAAATGTTATTATTTTGTGTATTTTCAGTTAGAAAGAGAAAATATAGACCTCTGCATGCACAGAGGGGCTCCGAAAACCAATAATCAATATCATACATAGAAAGAGAAACAATTAATGAGAAACTCTGTCTCAAAAAATAAGGTGGAAAACCAACTGAGGAAGACGAGATGTTGACTTCTGACCTCCACGTATGTGTTCCCCTGAATATAACCGCATGAACACATACATACACCTCTCTTTCCTCATGTTATGTTGTTGTCCTCAAAACCCAGACTGCAAGAGAGAAAAAGCAAGAACACCTTACAGATTAAAAATAAACAAAAGAAAACAACAACAACAACAACAAATGAAGCAAATAAAAAGCTGGCCAATCTGTCCTAATGAATGGAGTTTTGAGTCTCAAAGAAAATCAAACTAACAATCAGAGCACAACAATTAAAAACATCCTTTAAATACTAGCAGGATACTTAAAACTGTTAAATATTTATTTACTGTCAACATTTTTTTTGGTATAATAGTAATACTGTGGTTTTGTTTAAAAATAATTTTTTATCTTTTATCTAAAAAATCCACAAAAATATTTATGTCTAAATATGTTTCTTTGGTTATACCTCAAATCATTCCAGAAGAAGTGATTTTGATACAGAAACAAAATTGTCAGTCAGCTAACCAAACCATGTGCTGGATAGATGAGGGTTTTTTTTTGTTTTGTTTTGTTTTGTTTTCATGCCTCTAACTCAGGTGTGGGTTTGAAGTTTTGTTGTAAATAGTCCTATAAAAATTAGAGAATGCTTCCTTTCTGAGAACTTTGGTCAGTCTGCATGCAGAATACATTAGCTGAGGTGGAAGGGTAAAATATCCCACCTTAAATGTTATTTATTTTGTGTATTTTCAGTTAGAAAGAAAACACAGACTTCTGCATGCAGAGGGGCCCTGAAAAGTGGTTCTTTAGTAAAAAAATGAATTGTACATTTATCTACATTAGTAGCAGAAATACACATCCAGGCACAGGCTTTCTTTCCTGGCCACTCCACCTTTCTATCCAGGGAAGCTCTTTGTTCAAAAAGAAGACCCCGGGTGGAGATGACCACAGCAGACTGCCATGAAGGCCACATCACCTACACAGCACTGCCTTTACCCTTGTGGCATTACTCTGTGTCTGTTTTGTGAAGAGGATGTAGAAACCTTCGGATTACTCCAGGGTTTCCTGTTATTACATTCTTCTAAGTGAGAACATTACAGTCAGTTGTTCCTATCTGTCTGTTAACTCAGTATTTCAGGGGCTCAACCCTGACCTTCAGAGACAAAGGGGAAGCTTCAAGACGCCTACCCCACCACCAAGCACAAGAAAGCTTCACACTGCTCTTTGGAACTGATGACACCCTAAAACATTATGCTAAAATCTTTCTCTCATTGGACAAATCCTGTGCATTCTTAAAGTAATTTAATTCAGATTTTACTAAGCTCATTCAAATATATTTTAATGGGAACTGTTCAATGTCCAGTTTCCACTCACCTACAAACAAGACAATCCACAACCCTATCAACAAATACCCATATGTTAAGCTGTGTTCCATTTAAAGTGTGAAGCCGTCATTTTGCCAAATAGGCAAAAAATTCCACCTGGAAGAAGAGTTTCACTTATCGATTACTGCCCAGGAAACCACAGGCAAGCTGTCATTACAGCCAACAGCTCCTCAGCAGGGTGAGACTTCTGTCCTTGTAGATGGCTGGAAATGCAGTTGGTGCTGGGTGCTCAGGCCTTCGCTTTCCTTGGTTCCCTTCTCTATAAGCAGTGGTCTTAGATTGCAAAGTCTGGCTTCATGGAATCCTTGTGGGAGGAAGCAAAAGCTCCCTAGCCTTTTTGTGTGTAGGCTTGGAAGTCTCAGAATATTTTTCACAATTTTTTTTATCAGAGTAGGCACAGGGCCTGCAAGATTTAAGGGGAGGGAAAACACACTCCTGTCTTTCCATAAAAGGAGCATCGTTTGCATACAGAAAGAGGAAGGCTGTGTGGACCCACTGATGAGGCTAGTTTGCATGAAAGTACCGAACAAACCTTTATCATAGGCTACCCCTTGTCAGCTTGAAAGCTGAGAAACAGCTAGATTTTTTTTGTCCATCCACAGTGCTACATATTGCAAGTTAATCTAGTATTATCTCTGTACTATAGTTAATTAGCAATGTGTCCCAAACACCCATGTGCTAATGGAAAATTTAATAGGTAGGGCCTAACAAGATTTTAGGCCATAGAGGGTATGCCCTTGAGGCAAATGATGGGACTGTGATCTTCTCTTTATTTGAGGTCTAGCCATGTATGATAGTTTGAATGAGAATAAACCCCCTTAGACTCATATATTTTAATGCTTGGTTCCCAATTGGTGGAACTGTTTGGGAGGGATTAGGATGTGTATAGTTTTGTTGGGGAGGTGTGTCACTGAGTATGGGCTTTGGGGTCTCAGAAGCCCATTCATTCCATTCCTAGTTAGCTCTCTTCTCTCTGATTTCTCTTTGGGTTTAGATGTAAGCTTCCAAATACTGCTCCAGGGCCATGTCTGCCTGCCTGCTGCCATACTCCCTGCCATGACATTCATGGACTCACCCTCTGAAACTGTAAGACTAATAATCTCTTTATTCTATATGTTGCCTTTGTCATGGTGTTTCTTCACACATTTTGCCCATTTGGAGAGATCTATCCACATATTTCTTCCCCTGATGTCTTTGTCACTAATTTTCCAATCATGTTCTTTCCAAGTCCCTGCATCCAGCTAATCCTTTGGCTACAGCCATGAATCAGTGAACAATCATACACCTGGCCATTTCTCATTCCAGACAAAATATATGACCATGGGCACTGCCCAAAGTTCTGCTCACTGTGGAGATTTACCTGTGCCAGTGTCTTTCAGGTTGCTCAGAAAGGGGGTGTAATGATATAGCTTTCCACTTCTGGGTAGTGTCTGCAGAACCATCGGTAAACCAGGTCCTAGTTTTCACTTCCACACTTAATTGAGCATAGAGCACACCCAGTGAGGTTATAGGTATACTCTTGACAGCAGATGGCTTTGTAATGGGAGTAGAAACCATAGACATCTGGGCAAATTCTCCATGTAACTTGCTTGTGCCCTCAGGGCTAATCACATATGTACCACTTCCATTTGATAATGGATTATTGCTCTGCACATCCAACTTTATGACTTGGTGGGTCAGATAACATCCAGCTCATGATGGGCAACTCAGGTTGCATGGTAACTTGGTAGGCCATTGTCAAATGTTCGTTTTCCACTAAGGCCTAATATCAGGCCAAGAGCTGTCTCTCAAGGGGAGAATAGTTGTCTACGGATGATGGTAGAGCCTTGCTCCCAAATCCCAAAGGTCTCCTCTGTAATTCATCTATAGGAGCTTTCCAAGGCTCCAAACAGTATCTCTATCTGCCACTGACACCTCAAGTACCATCAGGTCTGCAGGACCATATAGTTCAATGATAGAGCAGCCTGCACAGTGGTCTGGACCTGTTGAAAAGCCTTGTCTTGTTCCAAGCCCTACTCAAAACTAGCAGCTTTCTGAGTCACTTGATGCATGGGTCAGAGTAACACACCTAAGTAAGGAATGTGCTGTCTGTAGAATTCAGGCAATCCCACAAAGCATTATGCTTCTTTCTTGAGGATTGGGTAGGTGCAATAATTTATCCTTCACCTTAGAAGGAATACATCTGTATGTTCCCCACCACTGGATTTCTAAAAATTTTATTGAGGCCCTTGAATTTGGTTGGATTTATTTTCCATTCTCTGATGTGCATATATATTACCAACAAGTCAAAAGTGGTTGCTACCTTCTGCTCACTTGGTCCAATCAGTATAATGTCATCAATTTAGTGCTCCAGTGTGATATTTTGTGGAAGAGACAGACAATCAAGATCCCTTTGAACTAAGTTATGACACAGGGCTGGAGAGTTAATATATTCTTGAGGTAAAACTTAAAGGTATACTGCTGGCCTTGCCAACTGGAAGCAAATTGCTTCTGTTGGTTCTTATGGCCAGGTACCAAGGAAAAGGCATTTCAAAATCAGAAGCTGCATACCATGTACCAGGAGATGTGTTAATCTGCTTAAGTAAGGACACCACATCTGGTACAGCAGCTGCAGTTGGAGTCACTATCTGATTACATTTTCAATAGTCAACTGTCATTGTCCACAAACCGCCTGTCTTCAGCCCTGCCCAGATAAGGAAGTTAAAGGGAGATGTGATGGGAACCACCACTCCTGTGTCTTTCAAGTCCTTGATGGTGGCACTGATTTCCATGATTCCTCCAGGGATGCAAAATTGTTTTTGTTCACTGTTTTTCCAGGCAGAGGCAAATCCAAAGGCATCCATTTAGCTTTTCCAACCATAATAGCCCTCACTCCACAGGTCAGGGAACTAATGTGAGAATCCTGCCAACTTCTAAGTATATCTACCCACATTACACATTCTGGTATTGGGAAAAAAATCCCAGGAAGAGTTCAAGGACGCACTAGACCTTCTGTGATTCAGACTTCAGCCCAAACTCCATCAACCACCTGACATCCATAACCCTGCCACATATTCCCTGCTGGGACTTGCTGCCCCTGCTATAGGCCCAACAGCAAACAGGGCCAATTAACCAGAAGTGCAACCTCCATAGCCGTGAGCCAAAATGTCCTCTCTCCTATGTTGATTGTGTTAGGTATTTATGCTACAGCAGCAGTCAGCCAATTCATTTCTCTCTTTCCCAACCCACCATAGACTCTCGTGATTCTCTTTTTGTCCCACTTCTGCTTGAGAGGAACAATGCCACCGTTTAGGGAGCATGCGCAAGAAGCTGAGTGGGGGCTAACCTTTACAGTCGTCACCCCATGGCATATCTCACACACATGGGTACAGTTTCTAAGGCAGCGGCTGTCTTGTGGCTGACTTGATGCGGAGCCCTCCTTGGGGGAGAACACTTAGTCTTTGTCCTCGTCATTCCCTTTCTGACTGGCCTTTTCAGTTGTTAGGGGAACAATGTTTTTAAACTCACCCAGTGGAAGAAAACAATGGACGTCTTTCTTCGCCTCCTGCAAAAGGTCATAGGGACAAAGAGCCCAGGCCCAGTGGTTGCCACTGGACATGCAAGCACATGCATAAATGAACACATTTAGCACACTGGATGCCAGTGTTAACCCTCGCTTACCTGGAGAAAGGGGGCTGCGTCTTCTGGTATCAAATTTTGCTTTGTTGAATTTGAGGAGAACCTTTGTCTGCTCTGCCAGGGCTCAAAGCACAGGGAAGATCTAGAGCCTGGAAGCAGGAAGCACTAGTATAGCAAGTCGGGGTTTCCTCCCAGCCCTCAGGACAGTGGTCAGGACAGAGCCATGGGGACTATTCAAGGCTGACTGTCCTGTAAGGACTTCACCCTTCAACACCAGTCAAGAGAGAAATAAACTGAACCCCTGAACACGAGTGTGCTTGTTGAAACTGGCGTGGCCTTTCCCATGTGGTCAATCATTTCAGTAAGAAAATTAATGTTTAATTCACTTCATGGCTGCTTTCCTCATTCCATGTTGGGTAATAAAGTGCTGGCTTGTCCTGTCTTCCCAGGGAGAACACATCATCACTGGTAGGGCGCTCTGCTCCTCAGTGTAGTTTATTGGCTGGTACTTTTACACTGACCCGAGAGTCCTCTTTTTTTTTGGGCTGTAATATGGCTGCTTCAGGTTGGGTCATCTTCAAATTTCTGAAAAAAAAATATTTTAATAGATTTCTCTCTCTCCATGGGGGCATTATAATACCTCACAGAACATACAGAGTAAACGCTGATCTTCAAGGCCCCTATCTCCAGCAGCAAACACAAAGATACTTAAGCTGTTTACCACTGTGTACCTTTCTAAATGGATAAAATCCCACTTGCTTATCATGCCCTACATGCAGGATAGGACTTAAACACATGTAAACTACAAGGATTGCTTCTGTAAAAAAAAAAAAATTCAACAAAAAGATTTAAATATGTATTTTGGCAATTTTGTGGGGCAAAGTTGTGTTTCCTTCCCCATGAAAGAACGTGAGAAAGTCTCTACTCTTTGACCTGTACGTGAGACACAAGCATAAGCACAAATAATAATTAGAAAAAACATGTAAGTTTCTTGCGTGCCTTTCTACCAGAGTAGAATGAAGTGTGCATGGCGCATACATTTCTAGAAGGCTGAGAAATTGATGGCTTCACTCGGTGTCTCCCCATCTCCATGCCCCCTTGTATTCTTTTTCTTTTCTCTCTTCCCTTCCCTCCCTCATGTCTGCTCACTCCTCCCCCTTCCTTTTAAAGAAGAGAGCGAGCGCCGTTCTCAGAACTCTCTCAGGCTTTCCTAATTGAAAGCAACCATCCAGAGTCACTCCTTTATGTTAAGTGAAACACTTCTGCACAGATCTCCAGGGATGAAGTGATTAGCTCAGCAAGAAACAGGGACTCTGGCCGTTCCTGTAAGCCGTGGAAAAAAAAATTAAGTACAATTTTGCAAAGATAGCACTGAAAGAGTGGTATTTTCTTTCAAAACATGTCTCTCTCTGAAACATCAGTGCAGACATGTGTCAAGATAGAAACTGGATCGTGTTTCTAGCAGTTGAAGACTCGAATTTCGTCAAACAAGACTGTTTGTTCCCATGCCCAAACTGTCCTACAGTGCCCCGTTGTCTGGGCGAGGATGGAATACAACCAACTCCGGACAGTGGAGCTTGAGCTGGTGCCAACCTTGCTAATGAACACGTGGTTTCAATAACAATGAGGCTACTTGCTGGCTGGGTGGCAAGGTGCCAGGCCCTTAATGTCGAGGGGGTAACCTGTGTAAGAAGTACCATCTCCTATATGGTTGTGTTTCCCAGACTGCCCCATGCACAGGTTGAGACTCTACAACGTGGTGGGGGTGGGGGTGGGGGTCAAGGCTGAGGCTCTGAGAAGCCCTGCAGAGGTCCTGTGCTCTCTGAGTGGGGGCCTGGGTGGGTGTGCTGCAGTGTGGCATTGGGTTAGTTCCCTGTTTCGGGTTCCTGGTGTGCTGGATCCTGGAATCGGAGGGTGTGAATGCCAGAAGACAGGGAAAGAGTTACAGTTTGCTGATATTCCCACTACACTGACAAAATGGATCCAATTACATGATGGTAGCATTAAATGTTATTAAGAAGGGATCCAAAGTCCTGAGGCCAGACTTTCACAAAATCATGATAAGCTGCTTAAAACAGCTGAAATAGCACCCTCACTTTGCTGAAGGGAAAGGACTTGGTGATGTTGGCCCAAGGTCTGCAGCGCTGGCCTGTAACCATGGGCTTAGCACATGGAAAGAAGACTCCTGTGACTTCATTAGAGCTGAAGGTGTTCTTGGCTCTTTTGCTCATTTTGTTCCTTCAGTACACTTTTGTGAACTGCAACTCTAAATGGCTTGCCTGAGGCCGCCAGTGACCTGGACCGCATGGTTGGTGGGGACAGAGCCTTCTTCTGAAGGATGGACTACACCTCCTTTCAGGTATTGGGTCTCTTCTGTTTGCTTTCTGTTGTGTTGTTTTCAAATTTGCGCGCGATAAAACTCATTCTTTGTGGTGCATTGTTTTTCTCTTCGCGTGATAACGTCTACATTTTAGAGTTAATACATTTTATTTGTCCTTCGAAAATTCCGTACAGGTATACAATCAATATATCTTGATCCACATCTACGCTCAATTCCCACCCCCCACCCCCCGACTTCCTCTGTCTCCAACATATCTCCTTCCCAAATTCTATTGTTTTCTTTTCTTTTTTTTTTTTTTTAGAATAACCCACTGTGTTTAATTAGTGCAGCCCAAATGCTCATGGGTGTGAGTTCATCCACTAAGGCATGAGTCACCTGCCAGTGGCCAGCCCTGAAGATCAACAGCTCCCCCTCCCCTAGCAGCCATCACCTGACAACAGCTTCTCATCTAGAGGTAGGGGCTTGTGTGCCCTTCTCCCCACCACCCTGATTGTTTGGATTCTGTGCATTTTTTGCTCAGGCAGGGGGTTGTGTGGTAGGTGCACCAATTGTGGTTAAACACCCCCATGTCTAAGGCTCAGGGAACATTATGGAAGAGGGGGTGGAAAGATCGTAAGAGCCAGAGAACCTCTTTAACACAAGATATACGACAAGGGAAAGCACATCCGTGAACTGTCAACAATATGGTCCCCTAAATAAGACCCATACCTTGACAACACCAGTTGACATACCAACTTGCATGGTGACATCTCGCAAAGCTGCACCCCTGGATGAAGAGCTACAGAGCTGCAGGTTAAGGGTTGCCGAGAGGGGGAGAATCAGTCTTCCCCAGGGACAACCTTCTTGATGAGCTATCCAATCCCACGTGGACAGACCTAATAATGGCTTGCAACGAGCAACACTAAATGGACTCAGCAGGTTGTCTCCACATAACCACATGTGTTTATGTGCATATGAAACAATAATAATGAAGAAGGGGTCAAGAGTAATGAGACTGAGTGGAGGGGACAGGGAGGAGTTGGAAGGTGGAAATGATATCAATACAGTGCTCATACATGAAATTCTCAAAAATGTAGAAAGGAAAACAAGGACTCTTGCAACTCTGTTGCTGAGTGAGTGGACTCAGATGGTTCTATAAGCCCAGGAGATTTTTTTTACTCAAGGAAATCATAGGCATTAGACCACCTGGAGTTGTGACTCACTTGACATGGGTGCTAGAACTGAACTTGGGTCCTTTGCAAGAGCAGTCTCTACTCTGAATGCTGAGCCTTCTCTCCAGCCCAACATGTACTTCAAATACATTAATATGACTACTCTAGATCTGGTCTAATTATTGTTTCTATGGTATGTATCTTTTTTTTTGTCCATACATCTTTACTTGCAAGTGTTCATTGCAAAGAGTCATTGATCTGGATCAAGGCCTCTGGCTTCCGCTACACCATCGATGCTGGGCCCTCACTGGGACTCCTCTTGGATAGCCTGTTGTTGCCCTGTGTTGTGGAGATCCTGCAGTTTTGGATCTGCAGATCCAGCTCCTTCACCTGCTCCCCTAGGTCCTTGATGAGGTGAATATTGGAGTAGGCTAACTCATAGCCCTGGTTCTGGGCCTAGGTGATAGCTGAGTTGGTCAGCCTGCCAGCTTTCCCTCATTGACTCCACCAGAGCAAGCTCTCCAGCATTGCCCTGGCTGGCTCACTCACTGTAGTAGGCAGCGAGGCTTGGGGCCAGTTCTCCTATTCTCATGCCCTCGGGGCAGGCTTACCCGCACCCACACCACCAGGGCCACTCTACTGTTTTGCCCAGGTGAGGTGCAGGGTCCTCTCTCACTGGGGGTAACAAGGGGCTAGGTTAGGAGGAGAGGACATCTTTCCCTTACTCATGCCACCACATGGCAGGCAATGGGGTGGCAGGGTCAGCTCTCCTGCTCTCATGCCTCAGGGCTGGCTCACCTGCGTGCCTGCCAACAGGGTCAGCTCTAATGTGCTGCGCAGGGGAGATGCAGGGTCCGCTCTCCTGTGTGCTGCAGTCAGTGAGGGGCAGAGCCAGCTCTCCCACTGGCCATGATCCTGGGGCAGGTCAGCTCTTCTGTTCTCACACCCTCAGGGCCTGCTCACCTGCAGCCCTACCAACAGGGTCAGGTGTGTATCTGTTTTTCTGCTTTATGTAAAGACGTTTTGATACTCAGAGTGAGTTTCTGTTTTTTTTTTTTTTGTCCAGCTCTGTCCTTTCCATGGAAGTATTGAAACTGTTTATGCTTAACATTATTATTTAGTCAACTAGGTTAAAACCTGTGAACTTGCTCACTGTGTTCCATTTAGTTCTGCATTTAAGTTTGCCTTCTTCAATCTTTGTGGGAATAATTAATTTTTTATTGTAACAATTGATCTTCAATATTGTCTTTTAAAACCACTTATTTTTATATGCATGAGCATTTTGCCAACATGAAACTTTGTCTACCATGTGCTTGCAGTGTCCACAGAGCCCAGAAGAAGGCATCAGGTCCCCTGGAACTGTTGTTATGGATGATCGGGAGCGGCCATGTGGGTGCTGGGAACAGAACCCAGGTCTTCTGGAAGAAAGTGCTCTTAACTGCTGAACCATCTCTCTAGATCCTTCAATAGTGACTTTTAAAATCATTTCCTTGAGGTATGATGGAAATACAGAAGTTTGTCACTGCTTGGTGTATATTGCATGATGAGCCTAGAGGAAAGTTTGTGCTCATGAACCAACACTGTACTCCAAGCCACAAGCCTATGCAGGACCTCCCAGGGCTACCTACTGCTCTCTTGATGTAAAATCACCAGTGTCATTGTTATTTGTACTAAAGATGTGTAAGGGTCGATGTTGGAGGATGTTAAGTATGATGTGGTGCAACTGCAGCCTCATGTTGTGTCTCACGGTTTAGATCTGAAATGTCTTAAAAGCTCATC